CGATGTGGTGCTAAGCGGGTGGTGTCCCTCAGGAGGGTTGGGAGAAGAGGAGGGCTGGGTTCTGACACTGGTCTGAGGGGTCCAGGGTGTGGGCAGAGCTGGGTGGGGGAGCAGAGCCCAGCGGAGGGAGGGCCCAGCCCGGAGGCTTTGGGGGTCCATTTGGCCTTTTCAGTGTCTCACTCTGGTGACCAGTGGCCAGTTGAGACAGCCTCCTCTGTTGGTCCAGTTTGATGCTTCAGCCTCTTCCTAAGACCAAGAGGCTCCACGGTGCAGTGGCCCCTTCCCCTGGGAGCCTGGACATTGAGCCAAGAGTGGGACAGTCCCCTTCTCTCTGGGACTCACTAGCTGGTAAACAACATGAACCTCTGATGCATCAACAGCTGAGAACAGCACCCCTGCTGCTTGCTCTTAGGATGTGTTTTGTTCGAGAACTTTTTGGTTTCTGATGCTTTCAGGTCATCTAGGTGCCACCTGGCTACCTCCTGGTCATCCCCAGATGGACAGTCTGTGTCAACTGTGCCTGAGTCCAAATGAGCGAATGAATATTGAATGGGACGGGGCTGAGAGCGTCCCGCTCACGCTCTGCGTGCTTTCCTGCAGGTCGGTGTGCGAGCGATGTGCTAACAGAACACGGAACCTGCCCGCGGTTTACTTCAGTGACTACGTGACGGACATTCAAGGCTTGTCCTGTAAAAGCACGATGGCCGGCGAAGCAGTGCGCTTTCTCCACCTGGGGAGAAGGGTGGCGAGCCTTCCGGCCTCTCACTGGTGACTCAGATACAAGTTAACTTGGCTGCTACCCCTGTCCTCTGTAGAATCCCCAGAGGAGCCTCGATCACTCCAGACATGCAGGGATTGTCTTTAGCCCTAGGGCAGCTCCCTTCCCTTCAAGTTTATTCCCAGTACTTAAATGCGTACACACTCATTCCCTCTCCATACCCTTGGCCCTGATAACCTCAGTTTCACTTGGTCACCCCAACTTCCCTCTGCTTGCAGAAAAAGACCAGAGCTTTTATTTTTTCTTTTACACACAGTGATTCTACATGACAATATCCTGTGCTCTCTACAAAGGTGGATCTAAAATGACTTCCAAAATTATATATATTAAAATAGGAAAAAAAATTAATAAAAATCAATGTCAGAAAAAAGACCAGGGGAAAATTAGGACATAAATATTTAAATCACAGGGTCTCACCTAATTTCTAAAGGTGAGGTGTGAATTTGGTTCTGAGCTTCCTGGCAGCCAAAGCAAGAATAGAAAGATGATTCATTTCATGATTCATTGTTTTCCTGAAGTAAACATACACCCATTCTTCCAGGGAAAGTCGTGGGATTCCTGTGTTGAGTTCAGGAAGAATGGTTTTGCCTATCATTAAAGAATGTAAATGAGGTAAAGAGAAAGCACCTTTCTCCTCCTCACCCAGGTCTCATCCTGAGCGTTTATTTCCTTGGATGCCTCTTCTGGGCTCCATACTGTTCCAAGCCCTGTGGGGTCTGCAGTTTGTCTGGGGCATCTCAAAACTTCAGCCTGCCAGCTAGCGTAGCTTTGCTGCTCCCCCTGCAGCTGCTCAGTGTCCATGCTTGAAGTGCGGAGTCTTCACTGACTGCCTGCACATGGCTCTAGCCATTGTCCTGAATCTGCTGTCAGAAAGACATGTGAGAAGGCTGGAGTGAAAGGCATTTTGCACTGTCCTGGTGAGACACTTTGCCAAAGGCAGGCGCTTTAGCAAGAGTCTCTGACTCTCTCAGTCACTGCTGTGCTCCTGGTTTCTGATGGAGAGTCATCTCTGAGCTGTCCTGGGGGCGTTGTTTTGACCTTCTGAACAGCACCAAGTGAGTGAGGTGCCACCTGAAAAGTGCTCCCCTCCTCCATGGCCAAGGTCCACATTCTGCCTGAGTCACCCTCCTCTCTGCTCCTTCCTTCATTTTAACCACTTCCTGCCCACTATTTGTCATCTAAATAGCACAGTCAGAATGACATATTCAAACAACCCCACCCTGGCCCATGTAACTTTCCCTTCAAGGTTTATTTCTTCTCTGAGTGTTAGAATTTTGTATTCTGAAAAATCCAAGATTTTGGATTTTGTATGATGTAGCTCAGTGGTAGAGTGCTCGCCTAGCATGCATGTGGCCCCGGGTTTGATTCCCAGCACACACACACACACACACACACACACACCACACAATCACACAATCCACAATGCCCAACAGGGCTTAGACTTTCTCTCCTGGACTGGGAAAGTCATTGGAACTGCTCCCAGGTATTAAACGTTTTCTCCATGATGGGCCCAGCAATAAACACCTTATGCACTCCAGCTCACCCTGGGAGTGGAGGGCTATTATTGTCCTCACATCACAGATACGGACCTGGAGTTCAAGACTTGTCCTGGGTCACCCAGAGTTTGTAAAGGGTGGAGATGGCGTTGGTCCTTGGATCCCTCTGAGCAGTCTGTGCATTTGACCATCACCTAAGTGGCCTGGCACTGCCCCCAGGGTTCTCTCCTTCTGCTTGGCCAGTGCACTCATTTCTGTGGTTAGAATTTGTTCCAGAAAACAGCATCTTCTACTTTCCAGCGGGGAACAGGGACCTACAAGGCAAGGTGACAGTTTGCTGGGGGCTCTGTCTTTAACTAAATGAATGTTCTAGGAGATGGAGGTTAGCTATTCCATCCCCACTGGCCTCTGTGCAGGACCTGGGCGACCTCCTCAAGTTACCCAGCCTGGCCATCTAGGTGGCTGACAGGGTTGATAGGGCTAGTGTTTTTCCCTTTTCCCTTGTCCCCTACTCCTCTGTGTCTTTGCTCCCAGATTCTCGGGTGTCCTTGAAGACAGACATATCATTGCATAGAGCTCCCTGCTTTTCATTTTCTTTCTTTTTTTTTTGGTGGTACTGGGGCTTGAACCCAGGGCCTTCATCTTGAGCCACTCCACCAGCCCAATTTTTTGTGATAGGGTTTTTCAAGATAGGGTCTCTCAACTATTTGCCCGGGCTGGCTTCGAACTGCAATCCTCCTGATCTCTGGCTCCTGAGTAGCTAGGATTCCAGGCATGAGCCACTGGAGCCCTGCCTTTCTTGTCATCCTCCCCTCTGCCCGAAGGAAGACCAAGTGCATCCTATAAAAGGCTCTTCCCTCTCCTCCTTCCTTTTCCTCCAGGACTCAGGGCACCTCTGTAGCTCCAACACCCTCTATTCAGCAGTGCTGACTAGGCCCTGGTACACACTCTTTGCTTCTGTGCCAGCTCTGGCCTTGGCCATCCTTTTGGACCAATGGCTCAGTGTCCCACTAATTCTGTCTTCACAGAGATGCTGCCTTCAACATCTCTGAGAAGCCTAACGCTGGGGTTAGGCTCTCAGAAGCCCTGCCAGATACATCCTGTCTTCCTGAAGGGGGTTAGGCCTCTGTCTCCTCTCTTCCCTTCCGGTTAACACTCAGCAGCCTCATTTACCTCACTTAAGTCTCCATAAGGGCACCCCAAGAGGCAGTGGGGTCAGAATTTAGTATGGAACAGAATGGGAAGAGAGATGGCTTGCCACCCATCTGTTGGGCGTCCTGAATGATGACTGGATGAATGTTTCCCTTGGAGACCTGCCTTTGGGAAACTTGGCAAACGTCCTTCATTGATGGAAAGGCCCAGTGGGCAATGGGGACAAGGGACAGCCTTCTAGAATCTCTTGGCAGAGGGCCTTGCTGTGTCCCTTCTCATCAAGCTCATAGTGACATCCAAGATGTGGACGAAGCTGGCATTTGGTAATGGGGACTCCAAGGCCTAAGTGGAAATTGTGAATAGTCAGTACTGGTTGAATAAGTGTAATGTCACAGGTCCACGATCAAAAAGACTTGGTGTAGAAGGACATCTTCCTCTTGAGAGCATGCTGGCCTGTTACCACCTGGTCCCCCAGGTATCAGCATGAGGTTATCCTTCACAGGAGGGACTTAGCAATGACAACCCACAGTTGTCTGTGGGCTTCCAGATTTTCTGCTCCATTAAATGGAACGTAAGTCCCTCCCTCACAGAAGATAGATAGCCTTGATCGCAGACTTAAAAAGGAAAAGATGCTATGTTGGGAAACTGATGAGAATTTGACTCAGTTCTTATCAAAACCAAGGCAAGAGAGCGTGGGGTTCAAGTCAGATAGCTGGCTGAGGTTCCAGTCTCCCTTCTCACTAGCCCTGTGGACTTGGGGCAAATGTCTCACCGCTCTCTCCCTCAGTTTTCTCATCTGTAAGATGGGAGGTGAATAGGGGGAGTACTCGCCTCCTGGAGTTAGTTGTGAGGACTCACTGGGACGCTGCAGGGAGTTCCAGCACCTCATGAGTCCTCAGTAGAAGTGAGCTTGACGTGGCCCAAAAGGTCCAAGAGAGATACTTTGTCAGCAGGCCCCTTGAGCAAACAAAGTCAGGAAACTTTGGAAATAAGATTTGTCATCTTGTGGCACAGACTATCTTTATGTGAAAGTTGTGCGTATAATTATCTCCAGCTCAAAGCTTCCTTTCCTTGGCCACAGTAAACAGGAGATCCTGACGCCTTGGATTAACATAGTTGTTTGCTGGGTTCAGTTTGGAAATTTGACAGCGATGAATCCTAGACGCACACATCCAAGAAGGACCCCACACACTTTTGGCCATACTTTTAGGAGACTCCAGATGAGTCAGGTCACTTTTCCAAAGCTTAAATACCAGAATGTTCCTTTTTCTTAAGATATGCAGGATTTATGCCATTATGGTTAATTTGTAGGCCACCATAAAAACCTTTCAAAAAGCTCTGGTGGTTTTTAGAGTAAGAAGTCATTGGTCAAGGGCTGGAAGCAGGAGAGTGCTTGCCTAGCAAGTGCCAAGTCCTGAGTTCAAATCCAGTGTCCCCAACCCCTAAAACAAAGTCATTGGCCAAGCCAGGCATGATGGCACACACCTGTAATCCCAGTTATTCAAGAGGCTGAGGTAGGATTTAGGACTGGAGGCATGGCTCTAGTGGTAGAGCACTTGACTAACATGCACCCAGGTAGGCTCTGGGTTCCATCTCCAGCACCACAAGAGAAAAAAAAGAAGCACTAATCAAGAAGGAAAAAGATACCTTTCCTTCCCCTTGACCCTGAACAAGTGTTCTCTGGGGGAAACAAGAACACTGCCAGGAAGACACACTGCACCCAGCAATGGTGCCAAGACAGGACCTGAATTTCAAAGTTCAGCTCAGTAGAAAGACAGCTCATGAGGACTGGGGTTTTGTGTTTTGCTCATTGATGTGTCTTCAGTTGTATGGCAGAGCCTGACCCAGCTTCAGTCTGTACTTGCTGAATGAGTAAATGTAAATTAACCAAAGGTGTTAGCATGTAAAAGAACTAACATCCTAAACCTGGTTCCTTTCTCCTCTCTGTGAATTGTACCTATCATGAGATCCTTCCCACCAAGGGTCCCATGGCGTCCAGCCTCCAGGCTGCTCCCCACCCTGTGGAGCTGGCCCTTTCCTGAACCCTGGCTTCTGGCCCTGATGGTCTCTTTCCCAGAGATGATCCTTCCCCAGGAAACACCCGCTCTCTCCAGGGCCCAGCTCCAGGCATTGTCCACAGTTATTCCACATTAACTGCAATGCATTGTGGGCATATCTTTCCCACCAAACTATGTCCTTGTAGTTCCCACATGCTGACAATGTCACCAGAGTTCTCATCAATGAAGAGCAAGTCAGTCAAGAGCAAGTGAATGAGCAGGTGGCATGGAAGTATGTGTGCATGGCAGGGGCATGCAGTGACAAGCATGGTTCTGCAACAAATGGCTCAACTGAAGTCACACAGTCTAAATCCTCATCGCAGAAATTTTGGGCCAGTGATTTTGCCAGGAAATTTAAGAAAAAAGGAAATTTGATTAACTCAGCCCTGTAAGTAAAAACCATGAGAGGGTAAACTGGGATGCAAAACATCAGGAAGACCAACATTTCTTTAATAATGAAATAATTTATTATCTGTTAACGGTTGAACAATACAGAAGTTTACATATACACAGCAAAGATTCTCTAAAACATGTAATAGTTTCTAAAAATGCATGTGCTAACTGTAGGAAAAAGCACCATTCTCTATGGTCTTGACACAGGATTTACACCAGCATATTTACATGAAATAAACATCTGGAAACAGAATGTCCTATTCTTTCATCTGCTGCTCTCCTATTTAGGCTGTTTACCTTAAGGAAGATGTCACCCCCACACACATACACACACAAATAGGCTGTTAACAGCAATATTCTAAGAGCACCAACTCTAGGGATGGGGTAAAGGCAAGTTTGGTTCTCAGGAAAAAGCTAAAATGAAGAATGCCCCCTTCACCCTGCCACCCCCTCAGAGTAAGAAGTCAAAATTAAAAACCTGGGTAATCTTAGAATTGGGTGACTTCCTAATTTTCATTTTATGATTTTGAGGGAAGACAGACTAAATTTTCCTCAGCCATGCTGACTCTAGCAATGCCAGCCAATTGTTTCTTCTTCCAGAAGAATATAGAAGAAAATCATCATTTAATAAATATCGATAATCACAAAATCATGATAAATCAAATATTGCACCCATCCCCAACCCAGAATCTCTGAAAACAAAACACGGACAGTCTATAGCAATCCAATCGTGTAGAATGAGGAACATGGCCTGTTCTAAAAGGGTCTTTGGGTTGTCTTCTCCCAGGAAGGACTTTTAAGTCAGGAGTAGCCAGCTACTGAAGCATGCTGCATCAAAGAGTGAGACATAGAAAAAGAAGCTAGCCATGCAGGAAATTGCCTGTAGTCTTTTACTACCTGGTGTTCAACACACAGGGATGTTAAAGAGGGGAAGACGAAGAACCTTAGAGAAAACAGAAAGACCAAGATTTGAGAGAATAAATTATAAAGCACAATGAAAGTGTATTTTTACCAATACAGAATGGTATAAAAACCTAAATAATGTGTATCTATATATACTTTTAAAAAATAAGTTCTCTCTTAAAGGGATAGGGAGGAAGGCAAGAGGAAAAAAGTCCATAAAATCCATAATGGAGCCCCAAGATATCACTAGAGGTTTATTTTGAACATCAACCCCCATCTAGCTAACACATTTTTCTCAGAACCCAGGATTTGCTCTTGGCTATGTCAGAGATGGGGGAAGAGGCCCACAGGAAACCAAGGGGAGAGAGGATCTTTGCTTCTATTAAAAAAAAGTAGTGGTCTGAGATCTAGACCAAGACCCTGTCTCAAAAAAGTAAATAAAAAATAGAGGTTAAGGGAAAATGCTCACTTGAAATCCAAACCTAAAACAACAAACACTTCGGTGACCCATTGTGGGCTCAGGGCCTACTTAACGCTCAATTCTGAATTGACATTGGAATAGGTTTGGGATGACAAGGGAGGCTTCTTTTTCCTGCCCTTTGATTCACTCAACTAGCATCAGGTCTGTGAGTAGAGGAAGGAGCCAGCAATTGCTGTCAATACCTTGAAGAATTCAAGATCTCTGCTAATAAAAGGAAACCCAAATCGAAATATACTGGGTACTCAGCCCACCACTCAAAGCCAACGAGGGATAGAAAGCTGTGTCTTCTGGGTTGGTAACAGATGCACACCTGTATATTTTCTCATGGCATGAAATTAAATTGGATGATGCTTTCCCATTTGCATTACAATGGTTATCAATGAGCGCACTTTAGATTTTAGTTTTTTAAAAAGAACTTTCACAAAAAAAATATGCATGTGCCTAAATTTATACACATCTCTATTTATGTACAACTGTCAAAGGCTTAAAGGCTGGGGTTTATATCTTTGCCCATCCCCTCCCCCCAATTACCCCTAATAGAAACGTTTTTCACTTTGCTTAAAAAAACCAAAACAACTGAAAAGACTATAGCTCTTAGCAGTTACGCTGGTGGATCAGTGAATGAGACAACAGGTTGGCCAATCAGGCTGCTGTTCAGCCACGTGGGAAAGGGGTTAGCTGCCTTGGGCTGAGTTTGCTGGTCCTGAAGGATACAGTTTGGTTAGAGAGAAGCCTGTCTAGCCTGCTGACTCGGTCTACCTTGAGCTTGGAAAGTAATATCTAACCCTGGTGTCAGATTATCACAAGTGCATTAAAAATATAGATTGCATTTATATGCAATCAAATTGAAAAGGACCAGACAAACAGTGCAAAGGTCAAATAATTACTGTTTTTATATTGGGACAGAACATTTCATATTTCAACCAAAAGACAAAAATGCGGTTTAACTCAAAGGCACATTTAAAACACAGAAAGTAAGACATCTCTCAGATGCCTAATTTGCAAATTAAACAAATAAGTACACAAATTTTGTTCCCTTCCCACCCCCCAAGTAAGCCCCACAAGGTTTTTCTAAAGTCTTGTGTTCTCGATGCCTTGAGGCACCCAGCATTGTGGACTTGCGAGGCGCTTGGATGTAGCGATTCAACAAAGATGCTCATGAGGTCTTAGCAAATGGCATTCGAGGACCTCAAAGTGAAGGTTCATCTTCTTTCAGACATGTGACAGGCTGAGCTGGCTCTTTGAACACTATCACTCTGCTTAAATTCAGGAAGCAGGCTTTAAAAATGCAAAAGGCATACAAGTTGTACTTCAGTGCAAATCTTCAGCTGGTAATTGGAAAAGATTCCAACAATTAAAAAAATCCTTTGTATTACCTGTCCCTCCCCCCACCCAAAGCCAAAATGAAGGAAAAAAAAAAAAAGATCAAACAAAAACTGAAGAATTACAGATGACTTTGGAGTCATTTAGGAATTCACTACTTCCAATTTAAAAATTTTAATACATTAAAGAATAAAAAAAAAACATGCATGTGATCTTGCTTTGTTTAGATTGCTCTTCATGTAGCGTTTGAACTTGACTTGAAGGTGGAGGTGCTGGATGCCTGCGAGGCCATGGTTGAGGCAGCACGGGGTGGCTGCCTGCTGCTGAGTCAGCCGTGGAGCCCTTAGGTCGCAGTGCGTTTGTGGATTTCAAGAATGTTCCATCACTTTGTGATACACACTCTGCTTCAGCATCAGGGATTTTACAAATGGTTCAGATTCAATGAAAAAAATTCACCAGAGGCTGAAAACCTCAAGACCTCAAAAATATGAATGCAAAAATATTAAGGGGAAGGAACCAATTTTGTAGATACCTACATACAAAGTTTCTAGAACATCTATAAAAGCACAAAGTCATAAGAATTTATTTTCCATTACATTAGTTTATATAAAATGAATAAATAGTATTTATAGATTTAATGTGTCTTATGTACATATACATGTGCTCTGTTTTAGCTTAAATAAAAATGCTACAAAGTGGGAGACCACTTTAAAGGAGAAATCAGAACCAAAGAGAAAAATCAGCCATTTAAACTATCAACCCAAAAGCTTCCATAAGGAAGTTTCTGGGTGAGTCCAAAAATAATCAGCCAGGAGAAAGATTCTAGTAACACTGGACAACCCACCCCTCCTGTTCACCTGTGACATAGAGAGTAGGAATGTGGACTTTTTCCTTTCACTGACGATGGCTACTAGCTCAGCTAGCGCCAAAGCTGAGTTATTGCTCAAAGTTAAATAGGAAAATAGATTAGAATTGGACCAAATGTCACTTATTTTGGGGGGAAAAAAAAAGAGGCATAATTACTTTTGTTAAGTGGGAAATGGAGATCTCATTTATCTCTGAGGTAGGAAAAAAAAATGTTCCAGAGACAAGTAGCATGAACAATCTTGGCGGGGAAAATGTGTCTTGAGACAGCAGTATACAGTGAAGTCCCAAGAAGAGCGCACACAGATTGTACCGTGTTGTTTGCAAGAACAATGCTGGAACTTTCCTAAGCTGTGCAACTCCGAAGACACGCTGTCAAGGTGTCTGTGTTCAAGTGAGAAGTACTGCTTCCTGCCCCATGCTGCGGCAAGCGGGGAAAGGATGGGCTGCACACTGTGGCCAATTCCTGGAGGTGTCCCCAACTTCTTCACCAGGGCAAGGGCCATGGCTAAGTGCTCTTCCATTCCTCTTTCAAAGCTTACTTTGGAGTTCTGAGATCCTGATTTCAACATGAAATCTTTGTTTCCTTCGGTTTCCTAAGCACAAGACACACTTGGACATTTCTCCTAGGCGAGTGACACAGTAAGCCAGAAAACTTTAAGAAAGGTCTGGGCAACCACTTGAGGACAGTAAGGAAGAGGGGACGTTGTTGCTGAGATGTGAACATTGCTTATTCGGTCTAAGAGTTCTTGGGTGTTTTGAATTGATTGGAATGTACAGTCTCTCACAGATGAATTTTTAGAGAGAGAGAGAGAAGAGAGAGAGAGAGAGAGAGAGAGAGAGAGAGAGAGAGAGAAGCTAGTAGATGCAATCAGAAGCCCTCAATCCTATGAACTTCCCGGAAAACTTTGACAAAGCTGAGTTTGGTAAAGGTGGTACACTGAAGTTTGCGTGCAAGGGTGTCGCGGGCAGGTCCAACACGCTATCTAATCAGATTCCGACAGGAGAACCAGCTGGAGCTGGAGGTGGCTGAGGTGACCTCTCACCTATAGCCCCAGGCATGTCTTGTGACTGTCCTGGAGCTTTATTCTCTTGATGCCAGAGCTGGAATAGCCCTCGTCACTGCCGAGGCTCTGCATGCTGCCCCGCTCATCAGAGTCACTCACGCTGCTGCTGCTCCAGTCCAGGTCCCCTGTGAGACAGTCTGTGCTTTCCACGTCAACATCAATTTCTTCTGCAGGGAGGGTGAGACAGACACACACTGGTGAGGGACTCTGCAGAAAACTCAGCTGAAATCAGAACCCGTCAACCCTTCTTTGGATGCCTCATTGTAATGGGAAGGACTCTAGCTGCCCACTGCTCAGCCTCCCTACATTCTCAGCAACTTCTCCTTCCCTTGGCACTGGCCCTGCTTCCTGGGGAGCGCCTGGGGGCGGCGGGGGAGGGCAGAGGAGACTCACCCCTGTCAGAGTCCGAGCGCTCCGAGGAAACCGTGGAGCCAGTGCTGTCCATCCGGATCCTCTCAATGCCCAGCTTCTCCAGCTGCCTCTTCAGGTGCCGCTGCTCACGCTGCAGCTGGTCTATTTGGTGAACGGCTTTTCTGTCACAATCTTCAAGTTTCTGCAAGTCAAAGGGTAGTTGTTGGAGCTTTCTAAGTTGGCAGTGACCCTGCATCTTCCCTTCTAGCAGTGAAATGTGCCAGTTGTCACCAGAAGCCATTCGGTGTGTCACTTGTCAAGCTTCTCTCCAAGATAGGAAGTTGGCTGGTCAGTGACTGCAGGCTTCATCTAATTTCTTCAGCAACCACAACACCAGGGTACTGGTCTGTCATGGGGATCCTGGGGTGAGCATGACATTCTGCGATCCTGTACCTCACAATCTCAGTAGTGAAAAGACCACAGGAACCCACAACCTGGTCTCCCCTTCTGCAGTGATCTCCAAACACTTCATCTCTGAACTAGAAAGCTACATGGGATGGTGCTTAAGAAACACTTCTGTTTAAAATTATGTGTATTCAGTGCCCCAATTACATAAGCACTTTTGTGTGTCCTGCCAAATCTCAATTAACTTCTGTTGTTAGCAGGAAATTACAGTCCCTCTTGAAATCCTGATTTCAAATTGTCCAACAGAAGAGCTTAGAAAAATGCCATTTCCATAGATGACATATTTTTACAAATCTGCCCGTAGCTTCTCATATTCTTCAGATAATTAAGAAGAGTGTTTAATTGTAGCTGTTTTGTTTTAAACAGAGGTTCTTTTTCTCCCAGCATTGTCATGTGTGCAGGCTACTAACCATCATTAAAGTGGTATTTATCTAACCAACATATGACTAAACAGTGATTTTGGCTATGGCTCTCATGGGTTTGAACACAACTCTCCTTACCCTTTGCTGTTGGAGCTAGTCATTGAGGGTCAACTCTGAGTTAGACACTCTGAGGTCTTGGGGACACAAGGTGAGAACAAAGGTCCATTCTCCCTCCCCTGCCCTACTCTTTGCAGTCTACAGTCTAATGATGGAGACATCCATAGTCACACAAACCACTGACAAATGTTTGCTGTGACAAGTGCTGATAGAGAGAGGTACCCAATGACAGGACCACCTGCCACAGAAAGGAAGTGACTGAGTCAGGAAGGTTAATGAAGGTTTTGCTGAGCTGGTGAGACTGGAGCTGAGATCTGAAGGATGAGTAGAGGGTAACGAGGTGGAGAAGACAGGGGATGGTGTATGGCAGAGGGAACAGCACATACAATGGGTTCTGTGGTTAGAGAACATGACAAGAGCAAAGGACTAACAAGAGGCTGGAGAGGGGGTGTGTGTGGCACAAAATATTGCTGCAGAGGTTTAGAGGGCCAGGTCAGGCAGAGCCTGATGACAGGGTTTGAGCTGAGCCACAGAAGAATTCAAAACAGAAACATGGCTTTGAGCCTGGCAGGATGTTCCCAGAGAGCATGGTGAGCAGACTAGAGGGGTCAGAATGTAGGAGACCTGGGTGTTACTGCAGCCAACGATGGTGGGGTAAAAATGGAGGCAGACCAGGTTCTGAAACATTTGGAGAAATATGGCCAAGGAGCAGGCACTGCCCAGGGCTTGTACAATAGCATGGAGAGCAGGTGAACCATTCACTTCCAGGTGCCCAGGGGTGAGAAGTACTCAGCTGGGTTTTGTAAGGTTGCATTTGACATGCCTGTGGGTCATCCAAGAGGCAGGTTGGAGCAGTTCAGAGGAGAGGACTGTCCTGAAGACACACCCTTGTTTGTCCCTCATAACAAGACAAACACTTATTAGGCAGGACAAATAAAGAGACATCCAAGACACACTTACCTTTATGTGTAATTTGGCTTTTGTTAATAAACTCAATGTAGTGTGTCGATTTGATTCTGGCCCAAGCGGCACCAACCCCTTCAACTTCTCCAGGCACAAGCGAAGATGAGCCCGTCTATGAAAGCAAAATCACGGTAGCACTTGAGTATTTCAAAGTGGACTGAAAGGCATCCCAGGAGGAATGGGTTCTAAATTGCCCGACCCAATGATGGCAAATGCTACCAATGACATTATTTGAACAAGACAACTCTGGTGAAAACCAATAAGCAAAAATCCAGGGTTTCTAAGTTGAGTCTATTTGTAATATAAGTGTTAGGAGTAACAATTAAATCTGCTTTTATTAAACACAATTATCAGGTTCTCTCTAGGTCACTAGGTTACATTGTAATCCAGAGAACATCCAAATTAGAAAATAATGACATGCAGTAAGGGGAATCCTTTCAATCCATACTTCTTTTTGTAAAGGACACCATTCAAAACCACGAAATCACTGTATCAGTGATGTAGAGAATGTCCACATATGAGAATGACACATGTATATAGTTGAGGCTTTATTTGTAATAGCAAAGATGGAAACAACTGAAATAACCACCACAGGAAACTGGTTAAATAAATTATGGTATTCCATACAGTAGAAGACTATGCAACTATAAAAAAGGGTGAGTATGTGCTCTGTGTACTGTTGGGAAAGACTTCCCAGATAAGTGAAGAAAAGCAAGATATCTAACTGAGGACAGCATGAGATCTTTGTATAAAAAGGAATCTGTATTCATGTTTTCTTGTATATATATAAACTCTGGAATGATTCCTAAGAAACTAATGACATTGGTGGGGCAGAGACAAGGCAGGGACTGGAGAGAAGGAAGAAGGAATGAGGGGAATTTTTACTGCATAGTTTTTATCCATGTAAATCTATTGTTATTGAAAAAGTTAAATAAAATAAGGCAAAAGTATCTCACTGGCATTGCTATACTAACAGGCTGAACAGCTGAGAAGAACCACTTCTCCATCTTGAAGTGGCACAATGGGACAGAGTGGGAGAGTGACAATGGATAGATGAGGAGGAAGCCACAGCCAACCAGCCACCCACTGAAGAGCCACTCTTTCATCAGGAAATGACCAGGAACACAATAGTCTCCACAACTTTGGAAACTTATACTTCATTGAAACCTTGGTTTGGGCTTTATTCTAGAATCCAGCCAATTCTATGAACATGAAAAACAGCCAAGATTCAGAGTGTTTGCTCAAGCCCATCACCTCTTCAAGGCCTTCCTAAGCCATCCCAGTTCTCAGTGGGTCCTCCATTTTTCCAGTACTTACTTTCCAGTTTCCCTGGCTGGTTCCCACCACTTCCTGCACTGTTTAGTATTTGTCACTTAACTATTTGCTGCAAAGTCCTTAGAAATCTGGGGCTGCATCTTAATCACTGCTGGGTAGCCACAGTGGCTCCACCACACACTTAATAAATGTTTGCGGATGAAATGTGTCATCTGTTCAACTAGACTTTAAGCCTTGGAGGACAGAGTCCCCTCTCTACTGTAACTCTGCTTGTGTATCAGTGCTCACTCAGTCTTGGGCTTTAAATAATGTCTGCTTTCACACATGACTGCCTGGGGCAGAGTTCCTCAGCACCCAGGTGGCTATTCTTCAGCTGAGCTGGGAAACCATGCAATGCCTTCTGGTTTTCCTTTTTTTTTTTTTTTGTCTTAAGAATATTACTGTCTTAGTGAAAGTTGGGAATGTAGACCAAAAGAAGAAAGTCACACATCTGAAAGCTGTAGCACAGGGAAACAGGTATGATATTACCTAGGAAAGTCAATTCACATTCTCTACCAAAGACTTTGGATATTCCCCTAAGGCAAATCTATGGTTGATTTTTTTCCAGTGCTAGGAATTGAACCCAGCAAGCTACTGTTGAGCTACAGCTCCAGTCCTTGGTTTTTAAAGACAGGGTCTTAGCCTCTGAGTGCTGGTATTGCAGATATGTACAACCATGTCTACCTCCTCATGCAGATCTAATACAAGATGCTTATATATCCTTTTGAATCTCTGCCTCACCTGAATCATGAGGAAATTGTCCTGAATGCTCCAAGGGCCTCTAACCTTTGACAAGATCAAGGAATACAGAAATCATTTCAGAGCTAGGAGAATGTAAGGGAACAAATGCTTTACAATTTTATAAGACTCCTACTTGGGGCTGGAGGTGTGGCTTAAGTGGTAGAGTGCCTGCCTAGTGAACTCAAAGTCCTGAGTTAAATCCCCAGTACCACAAAAAAAAAAAAAAAAAAAGAAAGAAAGAAAGAAAGAAGACTACAATGACTTGCACTAGCATTAGGAAGGTTGCTCCTTCTTCTACAGCATGGGGGGAAAAATAAAGGAAAGCAGAAACTGTGTATAAAATGTTTACCTTGGATAATGTTCTTCATGTTATTAAAAATACTATGAGAAAGTATAATCAGTAACTTTTATTCTCACTTATTTGTTCTTACCAATTTCTCACTATAAAGTTTGTAGACTAATTTTCAAAGTAAGAGAAAAAGCTCAAAAATTAAAACCATATTTAACTGGGCACTGGTGGCTCAAGCCTGTAATCCTGGCTACTCGGGAGGCAGAAATCAGGAGGATCTTGGTTTGAAGTCAGCCTGGGCAAACAGCCTGTAAGACCCTATCTCGAAAACACTCACCACAAAAAAAGGACTGGTGGAGTGGCTCAAGGTATAGGCCCTGAGTTCAAATGCCAGTACAGCAAAAAAAAAAAAAAAAAAAAATTATATTTAGACATTTATCAGCCTGCTTGTTATTTGCAAGGACTGCATGATTCAGAACAATGTTGTATTAGCCCTTTTATGGCATGGGTTATATACAGATATAAGTATGTAAGTTTTTTAGGAAGTTTGTCTATTGATAAAAATATAATAAAGTCATGTTTCAATGCATCATCATTTCTAGTTAGACAGGAGCCCAGCTCAGAAAACACTATTTTCATTACCCAAATGTGGGTTTCCAAAGAATACTTCCAGTGTGAAACTAGAAATAAGCCTTTTGACTAACTCAAATTGAGGGTAGTACCTATTTACTTACTGCTTTTTGGTATATTTCTATAAACACAGGACCAGAATTCTTTCTGGAGTTTTGCAAAGACTCAAAGGCAACTTCTGCCTTTGGCAGTGTCTACCTTGGCCATTTCCACTGCCTTACTGCTGCATCCTGATGGCCATCCTGTCCACGTGCCACCACCTGCAGACACATTCCCCATACCAGTGCCTGGGCCAACCACAGGGAGAGAGAAACCTATATTAAGCAGACTCAGTTCCATCATATTATAGTGCAATTCAACCCATGTGCCAGATTAAATAACAACAAATCAAAACAGACTCCTCTGTAACAGCTCTCACCGAGATCCTTCAACCCTGAGACAGACTGACTGACTGGCACAGACACAGATACACACACACATGCATACACACACACACACACACACACACACACACACACACACACACATCCTGGGGTCGAGAATCCTTCAGCCAGCCCTGAACATCCATGGAATTCCCAAATCCAGAACAAGCTGAACAAGTACCTGCCGCAGTTCCCTTCTTAGTCCCTGCCCCATTGTGACCCAGGTCTAACTCCCCTCTGAAAACTAGCAGAGGATTTGTCACATATCCCCGAAAGGAAGCCACCTGATACCTCACTCTGACCCCTGCTCTTGGATCTTCTCAGTCACATCTTCTGTTGCCAAGAGCAGCCTCCCAGCTCCTTGCCTTGGCAGAAAAGGGTCATGCCAAGCACTGGCTCGTGCCCCTGACTAGTTTAGAGCTGAGCCATACTGCTTTGGACCTAGATTCACAAACCTTGACAAGCTTCACCTGCTGGCTCTTCAGAAAGATTCCTTTAATTTTTATGTATGAATTGATGCATCTTTGGTCTACAGTAGCATAAGGAAATCAATTTTTCACCTGCATTGTAATCAGTACTGGTCAGAATCAAGTGTGGCCTATAGCTAGTAATAATTCATTTGGGTATAAACCCATAGATTTTCTTTATTAAGTTTTTTTTTAAGTATCCCACATTTAAAAAATGTATTTATATGTATTCTGAGTCACTGAATCACTATACAACCAGTATTAGTATAGTGATGAAGAGTAAAAGTTTTAGGATCTTGGCTTTGCCACTAAATCCCTATGTAACCTTGAGCAAACGACTTAACTCTGTACACCATCAGTTTCCTCATCAGTAGCATGAGGGTGACAACACCTACCTGAGGGCCTGTTGTGTGTATTAACTGAGACAAGGTATGGAAGTCCCAAGGCCAGGGTCTGACATGGAGTACTCCATATATGGTTGCTGTTATTCTTTCAACCCTAGCTTCCTCTGCAGGAGGATAAGTACCATGAGCAAGCACCAATAATTGTAGCACTCTATTCTTTTTATAATCAACAGAGAGCTCAAAAGTGTGTCACTAAGTAGAGAGAGGCTACCTGGTACAATCCAGTTCACTGAACTTTTCCTTCAACAAAATGCACATTTTTATTTATTAAAATGGAAAGTAATCCTTTTTCTATGGAAACACAAATATTGCTCATGCTAAAGTTACTTTTAACATTAAACAAAATCAACAAAGATTTTATAAAGCTAATGGACACAAAGGGCAAAGTTCCTCTGTGGCTGCTCACATCAAGTAGGAGCAGTGGGAGAAAGGAGCCAAAAAGTCAGAGGAAAGCACGGACCTCACTTCCCTATGCTTCAGGAGCAATGGCTCTGAAGCGCCAGAACTTCTCCTACCCTTACTGCAATGGCCTGAGTGAAGTAAAAACAGGGGTGAATACATTTTGACCTGGACAGCCATACTCCAGAGAGTTTAAAAATCTCTCACACAGCAAGAAGAAAGTATAGCATATTTAGGAACAAACTTAAAACACTTTGGAAGGATTTATGGGAAGAAAACTATAAAACGTTGCTGAAGGACACAGGAAAATTTGAGTGAGTGGAAAACCAGCCCATTCCTGAAAATGAACCCTCAAAGAAAAATGCCAATGTTCCCCAAGCTTGTCTACAAATTTAACACAATTCCAAGAAAACAAAATCCCAACAGTATTTTTTTTAATGCTGGGA